CCCCCATGATTTTGGGTCGTTTACGGCTCCAAAAATGCCCTTTGCTAAGTAATATTTAGTACATTATAAAATTATAAAAACACACTCAAATGAAATGACATTGCGGCTGCTAAACTAAAAGACACCCGACCTTCATAATATGTAATTGTTTATGCCATCCACTAGGGCTGGTTGTCATGGCAACACAAAAAATAAGAGACATTTTTTCCATTTTTCGTTAAATTTTTTTTTGGACCATTTTGAGAGCGAATATATCCGTTGAACAACTTGTTTGAAGCACAATTGACACACAGTTATTACAAGCTATCCATACACTTGGTTAAACAACAACAAAAATTTGGGGATATTTAATACATTTCTCACGGCCAGGCAACAAATATACCCTATGTTGAACATTTGCATAATGTTAAAAAAATTCATAACACAGAACAAACTGATTAACTGTAAAGTCCGTATACAATTACTCATCAGACATGCAAATAATGTCATTAAACAACATTGAATTATCTGGCAAAAGAATAATGAGCAAGTTTTACAAGCAGGAATAGAAGAAAAATTGAATAATATATTAAGGTATCTTGCATGCACATAATAACAGAGGCGAGTAAAAACAATATAAATATGATATTCTTTATAAAAATAGATTTAAAACATGAAAAACGTAAAAATAATACTCACATAGAGGATTTGTTCTGATACTCGAAGCTGTGCGAGGGTAGTTTTATGACCATTTATTATACTACCTATATACTACAAGTCTACAACAGCCTTTCGATGTATTTTGAAATACATAATTTTTATATTTACATATCTTTGCCAATGTTTTCCTTTGCTATTAAACTAATGTTGATAACTGTGGTTGAAATAAAAAAGAAATGGTTATCGCAAGGCAAGCAAACTACTTTAAAAGAACTGACATTTGTTGAAATGAACAAATCAAAACAAGGGGCCGCCATCTTGGAAAAATATATTCCAGGTCAGCGGCTTTCCTCACGAGTTGTAAACTTCACGTACGCGTGTTCGTCAAGATATATAGGAAAACAGAAATGTATAGTTTACAAAGAAAGAAAAATATGCTACCAGGAACACCAAAGGTTGTTAAATGTTCAGTTAGGCAAAGGCTTGAAACTGATTGTGGTCTTTGCTCGAGATACCCTTCTATGAAGGAGTGTTTGCCAATATTAGCATGTAAAAGAGATATACAAGTGCATCTCCGGCGTTTAAACTTATGTAGACAAGCAGTAGCATCAGAAGGCGATCTTATTCTATTAAGATCGGGCATATTTGGTAGCAACGGGGAGGGGTTAACAGTATGTCCACGACACAGAGAGAATCTTGGTCTTTCCTGGCTCCCAAAACGTGGGTGCGCACACCCTCTTCACGGATCCTCGAAGGCAAAACCAGAGAGGGGTGTTACAAAGAAAATGTCAATGGAAATTAATGACATTTGGGAAAGGTTTGTTTCAGTTGGTTCTGGTAAGTGATCTTTTCAATTTTTTGTAAATTAATATAAATTATAATTATTAATTTTTCCAGCATATAATTGCACGGGAAAAATGAATTCAAAGAATTGTTGATAGTTCTCACTAAGTCTAGGATGGTGCAGCTTGAACGCCAATAACTCATAAGGAAGTGAGAGCATCCAACCTGGTTATAATTACATGATTGTTAGGACATGCGAAGTACGAAAAGAAAGATAGATTAAAGAAAAATATAAATAGTGTTTATTTCGGTTACGCTCACAGCAGTCCTTGGGATTGGCGCTCTAGTGCTACAGATTCCAACTACTACGTGCCGTATGCTCTGGAGTCTGGTTGGATACGTGGTAAAAACGTTTTATTCGCTTTTTTGTAATTTTTACTAAAGTCTAAAACAAAATAATTATCTCCCTGTGAACTTCCAGTAGTTTACCAATAGCAACAAGTGCTCGACATCTAACTTACAAACACCAGCACGCTTACTAACTGATATTTTGTGGTCTAAAGGATATATTTTCAACAGTTTAGGAATATAGGTTTCATATTCATATTCAAGACTGGACCTGTGTCCATAGGCATAGACGGATTTTTAGTGGGGGGGGGAGGTAACTGATGTCTGCCAAGCAAGCTGCAGTAGGGATCTGCGACCACAGTCACTAGCAAATTCAAGCTTAACAAAGCATTACCAATAGTTTTACTATTAAAAGGAAACGAACTTGTGGTTATTTTCATATTCAAGCATTTAAAGAAGAAAAATGTGAAGAATCTTATTCAGCAAACACGATGACTATGGATGTGGAAAAGTGCAAAAAGGTTTCATTGATATATTTAGAAATTTATTAGTGAATTATGATCGATCAAAAGAACAGTTGGTTTATCCATTAACTCATTTGCATGCTCTGACGGCTCTGTATACAGCATATGAATATATCAAAGCTACATAAACAATTTCGGAATCAATGTCGTTTTAAGTTTCAATTTGGTATCTTTTGTCAACGTTCTCCCGCAAGTGCAACAACGACAACGATTGTGAACACATGTAAAGTCCATTTTGAGGAAAGTTTTCAGTCTAACGATGACTCAGTTATCAGCCTTGACAGTGGACCAGAATATTTCCCTACACCTCAAAAAGGTCACCAACTTGTTTCTATAAACAACTTGATCAGAATCGTTCATGGACGAGATGTGAGTCCTATCAGAGCACAACTCCGTTCCCCAATTAGAGACGTCTCGCAAAGTACCGATCGATACTACAAAAGGAAATCATTACAAACTTGTATTGCTACCTTAGAATACATCGCACCGGGTCAGTCTAATGAACTCTTTGAGATAGTTTCCAGCGACAAATTTGAACGAAATACAGTTGCTCCCGAGAATGAAGTTGTCCAGAAGCTTGTAACCTTGTACCAAGACTCAAGTTCGAGGACCACTCGTTTGGAAATGCCAGGAATAACTACGTGGCGAATAGATGAAGCCAGAAAACATGCAGCACTTTATGGAGCAGGAACGGCGAAAGAGATACCTAAAACACATCGAACACGTTTGAATCATTTTATTGATTTCATCTCTCAACCACATTTTCTACAAGATGTCGCATTCTGGACTAGGACTGAAGGAAGCTCTGCAATTGATCAATCATTAAAAGAAATCGTCATTACGCCGGGAAAACACGGTAAATGAAAACTACTTTAAAGTGATTTGATTGAGATGAAATTAAAAAGACATAATGAGAGAAGGGGAGCGGGAAAAAAAGAGAGAAAACTCAAAATACTCCAATACACAAAAAAGCGCATAAAAAATTAACAAACAAGCAATAGACAGAAAGTTAGATACACAAACAAGAAGGAACTGCAAGAGAAACAAGGAAGATCAAAGAAAGAAACCAAAATACAATAACACAATAAATTAGGGGGGCGATCAAAAGAAAGAAGTAGGAAAACAGAGGTAGATGCAGAAGAGGTTCAAGACTTGAAACATCAGCAAATTCTATTTCTTTATCTAAGGTATGACAGCATCGTGGGTTAAAGAAACTCAAGAAAGCCTGTGTCAAATCAGGCAATACCTGAAGTCAGATTTCAAGATACATATCAGTCTTGAAAACCAATGTGCAGATCATTGTCGCACATATGCTCTATCGGATTCTACGTTGGAGTACAAGAAGAAATGCTTTCACAAGCACAACATGACATGTGATCGCTGTGACATGTCAAAAGGCACATTGTCTGCAATAAGAACTGCTGTATCATCAAAGAATGTAACAATGAGGTTAGTATCCTTTTACGTGAACATTTTTCACTGGCGAAATAGTTTAAAGCATGGGGTTGTAAATTATTATTTGCATATTTTATAATTATCATGGTTAGTTGATTGTTTGAGTACGGATTTGTCTTTAAAGTGAAGAAACCAAAGAGGAGACAGTGCATGACTTAGATGCCGCAGTCCAAAAGATTCAGTTTTGGAAAGAACACATATTGCGAACTGTACACCAGGATACAGCAAAGAACATTCTTGAAGAAATGAAGCCCAATCAAGTGCTAATTATTATGGACTGGGCAATGAATTTTTTGCCTGTAAGTTATAGAGAAACACAGTCCGAATGCTTTGGGAAAAAAGGTCGTCCATGGCATGTTTGTGCCCCAATATTCAAGAAACCAGATGAAGATTTTGAGGTATAAGCATGTCCTGTTTTTGGGTTTTCAATTTGCACAGAGCTTAGTTGGCAACAGAGTTTCATCAGTTTGACACACGAGAAAATTAGAGTTTAAATATTTTTTCTTTGTAAGAATAGGTCAAAACATTTTTCCATTTGTTCGACAATTGCACGCAAGACTGGTTCTCAGTGGCATCGATTATCGAAGATATCTTGTCAAATTTAAAAGAAAGCTATCCCGAAATCTCCGAAGCGTTTCTTAGATCCGATAATGCAGGATGTTATCACTGTGCTCCGTTAATGCTTTCTATTCTGGGGCTTTCGAAACGAACTGGGATTGAAATTAGGCGGTACGACGTCAGTGATGCACAATCTGGAAAACAAATCTGTGACAGACGAATAGCATGCGCGAAAAGCCACATACGCCGTTTTTTAAATGAAGGGAATAACATCAACACTGCATCTGATATGAAGAAAGCTCTTGATTCCTACGGCGGCGTCAAAGGGTGCCGAGCTTCGGTGGTTAGCATCGACAGAACCAAGCAGCAAATCGCAAAGCACAAGTGCACAGGAATAACACTGTTCAACAACTTTGAATTTCTGAAATCGGGAATTAAACTGTTGAAGGCGTACAAAATTGGCAAAGGAAAGTTGATCAAGAAAGCAGATATTAAGCAGATGGCATGTACTCAAAGAGCAACAGGTTTAATATCACAAGAAGCGTTCACTATCCCGGAAAATGATAAGGGTTTGCTCAAGAAAACAACTGTGAAGCAGTGCCAAGAAAAGCGCGATAAAGATGATGTTCCGACCCAGCATACATCGAAGGGACTCAATTGTCCAGACGTTTCTTGTGTCAAAGTATTTGTTTCTAATGGCGCACTTGAAAGGCATCTCGATGTTGGTAAACACTTGTACCGTTTACAGACGGAAAGCGCGTACGATGTCGTAAAGGAAAAGTGGGCATCAAAGTGTACTATGGTTGATATTCATACTGAAACAAATAAACAAGGAAACAGGTGAAACAGATCAATCTCCTGTAGCTGTTAAAATGGGGTGGGCATTGAAAAGGTCAACCGGTACGTTTTTCAAAGCCAATAAAAGATTTACTCCTGAGAACATTCATTGATGGGGAGAAAAGTGGAATAAAGGCAGACCCAAAGGAAGTGGCAGCTCGAATAAGATGTATGAGAAATGGAAAGAAGAAAGTTTTTGATAGGTCTGAATGGTTATCAGTGCAGCCAGTGAAGAGCTACTTCTCCCGTCTAATTGTCCTACAAAGGAAAGGTAGATAGATAGTTTAATGGATTTTACATGGCAGCCGAATTGGCTGAATTGCGTAAAATTAACAAAACTTACATATTACAAACAAATTAAAAACAACACATGCATAATTACATATTACTGAATGTAATAGTATTACATATTATATGATATCAGCGCAAATTCAGATATGTTCCCCACCACCACCACCTCTAAAATAAGAATCGACCAAAGTTGTAAGCGCAACTAAAAAACCCAAAATACATGCATAAAAGCAGAATGTTAACGAGAGGCAGCGGCAAAGGTGGTGGAAGTCATATCAGAACCCCAGCAATATCCTTTTTTAAGGTATCTTAATTGATGATAACGAAGAAGAACAAAACGAGGAAGTCGAAATGATTGAAGAAGAGATAAGATGATATTCTTTGCTTGAGTGTGTAAGAGAAGAAGTGGAATTGTAACAACGTATTTTCAATGGATGATCACATGATTTACCTTTGGCTCTTGACATTCACTAGTTTAAAATAGAATATACATAATACAAAGTTCTTATCCCAATTTTTTGACCAAGTTATTAAGCTTTCATTAAAGGGGCCCTACAGTCATTTTGTTTAGTCGAAAAGCCACCTTAAGTAGGGGACTCCACGGAGATTCGTTTGGCTGTATCTTACATGCAGTATCCATGAGTATGAATACTTCCGCACACCGGAACACACATGCATGCCGTGGTGCGCATGTCAAGTAGCGACAATAACAAAAAATGTAAACAATACTTAAGGTGGCTTTTGGACTAAAAAATGACTGTAGGGTGCAGGATGCCCTTTAAGATGCAGTTTCAAAACATAGAACCAACAGAATAAAAAAATCAAGAATTGAAACAATTATGTTGCACGTAATTAATATATTTATATAACGCAGGGTTAGACGTTAGAGGCGGGGTTAGGGTGGGGGTCAGGTATCAGCCCTGATACATAATAATAGGGGTCACACGAAGTATATACCCAACTATCGTGAGGAAACCCGCTGACCGAGAAAATATTTTCCAAGATGGCGGCCTTTTCAGTTGATTTGTTCATGACAGCTCTTTAAAAGAATTTTGCTTGCCTTGAGATAACCCTTTCTCCTTTATTTCAATCACAATTATCAGTATTAGTTTAATAGCAAAAGGAAAGCATTGGGAAAGATATGTAAATATAGCAATTATATAATATATTTCAAAATACATCGAAACGGCTGTTGTAGTATTAGGACTTTAGGTAGTATATAAACTACCCTCACACTGCTTGCCTTAAGTATCAGAAAAAATCTTCTATGTGAGTATTATTTTTACGTTTTTCATGTTATAAATCTATTTTTCAGTCAGTGCATTTATAAAGATTATATTTATATCGTTTTTACTCGCCTCCGTTAATGTGCACGATACATTAATATATTATTTAATTTTTCTTCTATTCATGCTTGTAAAATTGCTCATTATTCTTTTGTCAGATAATTCAATGTTGTTTAATGACATTATTTGCATGTCTGATGAGTAATTTTATACGGACTTTACAGTTAAGCGGTTTGTTCTGTGTCATGAATTTTTTTTAACATTATGCAAATGTTCAATATAGGGTATATTTGTTGCCTGGCCGTGAGAAATGTATTAAATATCCCCGATTTTTTGTTGTTGTTTACCCAAGTGTATGGATAGCTTTTAATAACTGTGCGTGAATTATACTTCAATCAAGTTGTTCAACGGAGATATTTGCTCTCAAAATGGTCCAAAAAAAAAATTAACGAAAAATGGAAAAATGTCTCTTATTTTTGGTGTTGCCATGACAACCATCCCTAGTGGATGGCATAAACAATTACATATTATGAAAGCCGTGTGTCTTTTAGTTTAGCGGCCGAAATATCATTTCATTTGAGTGTGTTTTTATAATTTTATAATGTACTAAATATTACTTAGCAAAGGGCATTTTTGGAGCCAAAAACGACCCAAATTCATGGGGGGGGGGATAATTCCGTTACCGTGCAATATTTTTACCTCAAACTTCTATCAGATCAGATACTTAATATACTCTATATATGTGCCAAATTTGAGCAAATTCTGTGAGTTGACGTTTATCACCACTTGCATGGTTCTTTCATGGACACCCTCTTAATTAACTACCTGAAAAATACATCAGTGTGAAACTTCGACGTTTGGAATATTCAATCGAGCACAACTGTACGTTTCAATTCTTTTCTTGGAACGTCAATGTTTTAATAGTATTTTTCAAATAGTTCAATCCATATGATCCATTTGCATTTTTTTGTAAGAAACATGTGAGTTCTTCGATCATCTGGTCGTTGTTTAATCGCAGATGCTTCTTATATTTGCTCAATGCTTCAAAACAAAGTTATAATGTTGAGACGGTCGAGCTATCTGCTAATATGTTAACGGTATGAATCTTGGAAAGTAAAAGTAAGCGCCAAAACAAAAAGAATTTTCATTTAATTTAAGTTTTTGATTCCGACTGTCAAAAAAACTTGTATTGAGTGGCGACTTTCAAATGAGTGAATGCATTGTCTATTTCGAGTGAGTGCATTGTCTATTTCATATGTGTCCATGCATGCAAGTCACTATGCCGTTGCTTCTTCGTAATGAATATTAATAATTCACAAATATTCGCTGAAAGCGAAGTGATTACCGATGAATATTCACCGAGACGATGTCAGGTGAATATTCACCGTAATCACTGAACATGAGGCCAATAATGATTTTAGTATGAATTTATAATTAAAAAACAAAATATCCAAAAATAAGTTCAATTAAAATTCATTCAGAAATAAAACTGTTTTCGGCCTGTTCACCGTTACTGTTTTAGTATTGCAATGTTTCTTGTATACGCACACGCTTTCAAATTCATGGCTTCCAATATAAACACAGTACAATGATGGAATGACTTTTTCACCAGACTTAAAAGGAAATGGCTGAGAAAATTGGTAAGATATAAGCTTCAAAACATGCGCAATAGAGTGTCAGAACACCATACAGCACTATAAAAACAGGACATATGAAAAGAAAAAGCATCGTACATATTGAGATATCTAACGGATACAAAACAAGATGGTTTTAAAAGAATATTGCGGCAAGGGCTTTTCCAACAGTCTGGATAGTTTTTGCCATTTGTTTGAAGTGAATATTTTGGTATTTTAACTTTTAAATATGTTTTAAATTGTCCGCGAATATGTTTGACACAGTAAAATAATAAAGGAATTGTACCTTTCAAGTTAATTAATACAGCATAAAGTTTGTTCTACTTTTCGTTTTCTGGGGACAATTTTTTCAATATTTCGTCGATCTTGAATCAAATTTTGCTCAATCATTTTTCTTGAAAAGCATTTTTTACTACAAGTCTGTGAGTCAGATTTACTAGTCTACTAGAGCCAATCAAAACGCGCTTATTTGGTATGCAAAATTTATACTAATCTTTATTATTAATAATTAAAAAAAATAGTTTCATGTCCAATTTAGAAAAACAAACAATCGTGGTGTTTCAAATTACTTCAAATTGTACTCGATCTTCGGACAAATGCAGTTTTGATCAAATACTCGCGCGCCCATATACTCATGTTTTTTTTTTCTAAATCACGCTCGAAATCACACTATTTCTTGTACAAATTGTTTTAAAATTTCATTTGTGGCTTAGTATTCATGTAATTTGTACTTATACAGTCGAACCTCTATTAAGAGGCTCTCCGTTGAGTGGCCCCCTATATTAAACGGCTACATATCGAAGTCCCGATCCCGAAATTTTTGTAATACAAATACTATATATAAGCTATCCATCTATTAAACGGCCACTTCTATTAAGCGGCCGCAGCAACCCAAACAGCGGTCCCAAATGATGTTTTATGTCAATTTTTACCTCTATTAAGCGGCCAGTCTGCAGGATTTACTTGGCGCAACACCTTGCCAAGAGAGCCGCAAAGTCGAGCTAATTTGCTTTATTTGTAAAATAATGCTTAAAAATTATGTTTTAACACATGCCACTTTACACCCCAAAAGCATTATCTGTGGTAAAAGTGTCAGCGTTTGATATTTCTAAAGTCTACTCACTTTGTATTCTGTGATTTATAATTAAAAATAGACATTTGACTGCGCCTAGGGTCTATAATTTGCGTACATCTATTTAGCGGCCACAAAGCCGATCCCCGAGGGTGGCCGCTTAATAAAGATTTGAGTGTACTCAGCAATTTTTCCGTCTATATATAAAGGGTGTCCCAAAAAAAAGTGACACTATAGAAATTATCCCCGAGCCGACGGCAAGAAGCGCCGTGCGAGGGTATTAATTCCCCCCCGGCTATTTACACCTGGGGAAACGAACGCATTAGCGAAGTCTAAAGTTCATCAATTATCGCGGGAGTGGGTCACCAACCATGGTGATCGCTAGATAGTATACTTCAAAATAAGGTTTCCGTTTTTATAACGTAGAAAAAACTATCCTAACACAAAACTAAACCCTAACCCTAATACTAACCCTCACCCTAACCCTAACCCTAACCTAACCCTAATCTAAACCCTAACCTAACGCTAACTTATTTTAATTATTTTAAAAATTGATGTAAAAACGGAAACCTTATTTTGAAGTATACTATCTAGCAATTGCCCACCAAAACCATGGGTGGTCATCCTCACTGATCTCAAAAATAGGGCGGACTGTCATGAATAGCGGACACTGATTTGTCCAATTTAAAGTTTGCATTATAAGGACTGCATGACGACAGCAAAA